TGGAGAGTAGTACTGAGGAAGGAGTGATAAAGCAGGGGGATGATGGGACGGTCATGGCGGGGGGGCTTTAGATTAGGTTTTAGGGAAGTCTTCATGGAGAGAGACTTTCACAGAAAGCTGTGAAAGAAAAGGAGACCCTGGTGGTCCAGCAAAGCTGGGAGGGTGCACAGGGAGGGTAGGGAGGAGGGTAGGGAGGGGGCAGAGCCGGGGACGGGACAGCAGGGAGGGAGAGCAGATCTGAGAGGCAGGGCAAGGCAGGGAGGGCACTTCAACTTTGGTAGCCCTATTTTCTTCTGTTCAAAACACTGATGTTCTACATCAGATTTTGCTTTGGAAGATCATTCACTGCTAAACGGGAAAAAAAAAGTATGAAAACAACTTGTGTGGTATAAAAGGCTATGGAATAAGACAGTGCTGGGTTTAATTCCCAGGTGGGTCATTTGTGGCCTGTTTCTGGAGCTCTCTTACCTCTCTGACCTTGTCTCTGTGGGCCCAGCATGAGAAGACTTAGAGAAAGAGCACTTAGCCTAGAGTCTGGAACTTACCAGAGCTCGGTGGCTGGCTTCCCTGTCCCTGTCCTGGTTACATTCAAGCTGTGCTTGAGGGAAGCACAGACATGGGACCTGCCTTCAAGGACTGCACAGCCAGTTGGCAATGGGAGATGGTGCACACAGGAACATAGTGAAAGGCCAAGCTTGAGGTTTTACCTCCAGAAGCCACTGTTTTCAGCTACAGGGACCAGGAAGGGCAAGCTCAGAATGAGGCGGAGAGTGAGGGTAGGGTTTTAACAGTGCAGGTGGAGGGGACAGGCAGAGGGGCTGCATGTTTAACAAGCAGGATGTGTCTGGAGGACGGCAGGGAGTCCACTTTGGTGAAGGTCCTTCCTTGACAGCTGGAAAGGTTGTAGACGGACTGTAGTCAGATCACAGAGAGCTTCCAGTCCCCAGATAAAGAGTTTGTTTTCAGAAGAGAAAGGGTTCTCGAAGGTTTTTAAGCAAGGTGGAGGTGCAACCACTAGGACTATTTAGAAACAATATATGGGATGGATGAGCATAGGCAGTAAGAGAAAGGAGGGAAGATGGGCTGGCACAGCAACATAGATGCTGGTAATGACAGCTGAAACCAAAGGACAGAGTTAGAAACACTGGGAGACTGAAAGTGAGAAACCAGTTCTGTCTCTCTAGTTGTCTATTTGAGACAAGACAGGGTGAGTCAATGAGTAGAAACTGGGAAGTCTGAGAGGGACTTGCACAGAGGCAACTGGTGACATCAGAGGAACGAAGAGGTGGAGAGCAAGAAGGTCAAGTGAGAACTGTCAAGGACTGATCCTCAGGGACACCAGCCTTTTAGGGTAGGGAGAGAAAAAGGAGCTGGTGAAGGTAAGAAAGAGCATCGCAGCTACCAGGGACCCTAGAGACAGAAGTCAGAAAGGAAATGGTGGGCCTAAACAAGCTAAAGGTGACTAGAGATGAATCAGGAACTGACCAAACAGCCAAGACCTGGGTGATTAAAACCGAGTCCATTATCTTTCAGAGGGCAGCTTCAATGGGGAGGATTACTAGGATAAAATGACAGCAAAGTACAAACAACAAATGCAGACTACTCCTTATATTTGGCTGACTGTCAAGAGAAGGGGCTGGTGGTAATTTGGGAGGATAACAGGATCAACAATCACATTTTTTAGATTAAGTGTATTCTCTGTGTGTCTGTAACAGAAAGCAAAGTGATAGAGATTCGAGAGACAGAAGGGATATGGTTAGAACACTGGAAAAAGCTTGTTTGACTCATTTACCCTGTGACAAAACCTCACAGAAGGTTTAAAGAGAATACCAGCACATGCTGCATGCCTGGAGAATGAATACTGGACCTGGACTGCTGTGGGCACCCACGATCATACAGACAAGGGCAATCATCCTGGTCTTTAAAGTGGCCACAGCTGGTAAAACTAAGTGTGGCATGTCCTCCAGGATGATTACTAGGCACACGTCTACACATTTATTTGCATGGTCTCCCCCAGCACTTTCTCTGGGGACTTATCAGCACTGTGGCATCTGGCCAGGTAATCTTTGCTAGATCTTCCGTAGTCCCATTTTATGAGTGTATTTCTCATCGCAGGCACCAGCTGAGCGGTCCCCCTGCCCACAGCGTGTCGGTGCCCACTTCTGCTGAATCACATCCTTCGGTCCTCCTTTGTCATGAGAACCCTTTCCCTCTCATATCAGCTGTGTTCATTATGGAGATTTTACAAACCTTTTTCTTTCTCTCATGCATAATATTTATTTTCTACAATCAACCACAACTTCATAGTAAAACCTTTATAATAACCCCATCACCACTAACTTACAATATCTCAAACTATGCTACCTCATGGATGCTTCTTCCTCTGATGGAAAAAGAGACTTTGCTCCCAACAGGCAGACTGAGCTGAGGAGAGAGAACAGGGTCTTGTGGAGAACCATCACCAAGATTTTATTACTTTCTCCAGCAATAGTGCTTGTTTCCCTGCAGTGAGAGAGGTAGGATCACCACGGGCATCTCTGGACATGGTGGCAACAGGGAACAAGCTGGGCAGAAGGATAACAGGGCAGGTGGAGACCGGGTGGTACAGAAGGTAGGGGACATTGGCTCCTTGGATCGAGGGGGCTCCAGTGGGAGACCTAACATTAGAAACTGAGGGCTGAAGGAGCACAGAGGTGGACATTCCTGGAAATGTGGGGCAGGGTGTCAGAGGATCCTCAGTGTGGACGCTGAGGCTACAGAGAACGCCAGCAGCAAACAAGAGGGAAACTGGGTACAGAGCTGAAGTCCCCAGCAGGGAGGGGAGGGCTGGGAGCTGCAGACACAGACGGAGAGACAGCACGGGAGTAGACGCTGCCGCATGATGATAACAGTAGTGTCCGGAGGGACACAAGGGACAAAGATTCCTTTGGGCCCATGGTCCAGAGCAACAGAAATTAACACTCATTAGAGAGACGACTGTAAGATCCCGGCTGAGGAGGGAAGGAAGAGCTGAAAAAGGAAAACGACAGAGACACCTGAGACCTTTAGAAAGAAAAGTGAAATGAAAAAGAGACAGAGAAAGGAAGAGCGTTAAGATAGCACATGGGGTAATGAAGAATCAAAAACGATAGAAGTGCTGCCTCTTCAGTGGATTTTATAAGACTCAAAGCATAAAGCTTATTAGAAAGAGACAGGGTTGTAGCCTGGCACATTGGCAAAGATCAAAGCAATCTCTATGAACTATTTTGAAGATCAAAATGAGAAACCAGGCAAAAATGAAAACTTTCAGCCCAAATCCCTTCCAAGTACACACGTGCTCTCCTTGACATGTCTTTTCTTCTTAAGCCTCATTCATTCCTTAGCATCGGGCAAAGTTTTCACAAATAAGCAGCAGGGAAGCTGTGACGAGAAAGGAGTTAAGATCTTGTGGAGAGTCCACGTCTTGGGAAGCTGCAGAGGAAGACAGGCTGTGAATACCTATCCACTGTAGTCCATGGGTAGAGGTGAAGGTAAAGGCTGGGAATAGGGCAATTTGCCGTCTGTGTTCTCTTTGGGGCCACTTGATGTTCTACTATCCAGGAGCTCCACAGCAGCCCCTGCAAAGTCACATCCCAGGCAGAGCCCCCCACATTAAGCCTTTCTCCTCCTGAATTTGTCACATCTGTCCCTCCTTTCAGGTTTTCGGCCAAAACGAGGCTCACAAGTGAATTCAGTGCAGGCCTCCTGAAAGTCCCTGCTTTTGGAATGGCTGGCTCCTTATCATTCAGGCAAGTCTCAGCTCAAGTGTCACCTCCCAAGGATGGCCTTCTCCAGTCCGTCTTAGCCCCTGCACTTGTCTTCTTTGCTTCCCATCCCTGTGACCATCCTCTGCAATGATCATGCTTATTTGATTGCTGGCTCATTGTCAGTGACTTCTGCCAGAAAGCAAGCTCCATAAAGACCAGGACTGCAGCCCCAGCGCACGGCACAGTAGAGAGGAAACTGATACATACTTGTCAAATGAATGAGTAACATGGACCATCCACTGTAAAGGAGTTTGGCGCCACAGCAGGTCTCACGGGGTCTAGCTCAAACCCAGTGTTTCACTGTCACCTCTAAGCCCCTTGATCTGCCATGTAGAGAGCTGGCCCGGGCCAACTCTCTTTGCCCGTGAGGTCTACTCTAATAAAATGAAAATGAACACAGCATAGCTTCCATTACTACCACTAACAAAAATGCTTCCTCTTCCCTATTAATCAGCAAAATGGAGTTGAAAAGTATTCTTTCCTGAGGAAGCTTTAGAGTTCAAATAGAAATGATTGTAAGGAAATCAGGACAGCCTTTCTCAATAATGGGAATACTTCAGAGATAGCACATTTGAACTGTGCAAGAAGGACACGGAGTAACAGCCTTCTCTTCCTCATTCCCTTTCTCCAAAGGCTGCGAACTCTCCATAGACAGATGTCTCTGAGTTCCCTTTTCAAAGCAGCATGGGGCCTTCAGCTGTGGCCCTGCAGTGCCACCATCCGGATGCCTGAAGAATTGCTCCATGTCTGCCTGCACTCCACAAACACTCCAAAAGCAGGGGAAAATGAATTATTGCTAATCTCCGGCCGTCATGAACACAATTCCACGAGGGCCTCTCAGACCCATGACGCTCCTGTCTTGGCACTTGACCAAAAGGGTAAAACCAAGAACATGGTTTTAATTCCACCTCTATTTACAGCCTGTGACCTTAAAAGGTTGCCTGCTCCCTCCAACATACCATCCCCAGGTGTGAACAAGAAATAACGTCATCAGCATGTTTTAGGATCCTGCAGGGAATTCAGCACATCAATACGGAGCCTTAAGCACAAAGATGCCGGACCACCTGAATCCATTTCTGGTCCCCAGAGCTTAGAAGGCTTCTACACACACACTGTCTAGACAGAGGGAAGGAAATGGATAAAACACATGCAAAGCAGAACCATCTCCCGGACTCGGTCAGCCAATGCAAGAAAGAAAATCAAATCTGGACCATGAAAAATGGGCTATTTCTCTTAGATAGCCCAAAAATCCACTTTATATTGTCTGTTCCAATCATACATGCATGAAAAAGTAATGGAAAAAAGCCTTTTGCTTAGGGATGATCCTTCAAATAATGTAAGACTACAATTTGACTGACTAAACAAGGATTTTCAGGAGAAATCCAACATGAATTCCACAAAGACAGTAAGTAATAATGAAAGCAAATATCCCAACTGAGAAACAAGCTAATATTACATAACAAACATAATTATGTAAACATAATTTAGATAAGAAATAAAAATGGTAAATACGAAAAGTGTACAACCTCTTAGTAACTAAAGAAATTCAAAACAAAATAACATTTCTCTAACAAGGAAACATAAAAAAAGAAAATCATATACAACTATGTATGGGGGGATTTGGGGAGAAGAAGAAAAAAAAGAAAAGATTGGCAACAGATGCTAGCACAGGTGCCAATCTTAAAAAAAAAAGAAAGAAAATCAGTAATATTAAAGTTGATTGACTAGTGGGAAAATAAATTAGTTCATTTTCCGGAGGGCAATTTGGCAATATTTATATAAATCATTAAGAAGTGAAAGGATTTTTGACAAGCAATTTTTTGAAAACTTGTGGGAATTCATCTTATGAAAATAAAGATAGAAGGGAAGAGTCAGCTGAAAGCATTGCCTATAAAAGGAAACTTGGACAGATCCTGATGTCTAACCACGCAGAATTTATTAGATAAAACAGCTACATCTACTCAATGGACTACTATTCAGCCATTAAAAAGTATGTCAAATGTCTTTATATACCCAAAGATGTTATTGAAATATTACATAGGGAAAAAAGTTAGGTAACTAAAACAAAAGTGCATTTATAATCCAACGTGGCAACTATGTTTCCTTATGTACACCTCTCTCTATATACAGATGCACGGTAAAGGGATGAAAACAACTCACACCAAGGAGGTGAGGCTGTCTGGGTAGCTGGGGCTAGGAGGGTTTCTAAAGTTTTTTCCCTCTTATTTTCTGAGGTTGCTATAATGAAATACATTGCTTAGGTAATAAGTAAAAACAACTAAGAGTATTTCTTAGACTGAATAGGAAAAAAAATTCCAAAGTAAACTTTAGAAGGCTAAATCAGGAAGAGTAGGTAGGAGAACAGAGCCCTAAAGAGCATCTACTTGCACACCAGGGGCCCCGACCCCCGCCCAGAGCAGGCACCTCAGCCGACACGGGGTAGCAAAGCTCTAACTTTCTCCAGCCCCATCAGAAGGTATACTCAGAGAGAAGGCAGAAAAAGTGGCATTTCAAGAATACTTCCCATGTCACTTACTTGAAGAATATAAAAGGCAAAGATATTTAAAAGGGATTTAATTATATAGCCATGTATCTGAAGTAAAAAACAGGTTCTAGATAGTTCTTAGCGGGGAGAGGGGAACCAAACCACTGAATCGAGACAAGAACCACATTTGGACATTTGAAATGGCCATCAGAGAGATTTGGCAATTTTTTACTGCATGCACCTTATCCTAGTGTCTATTTTCAGGATTCTATTGCAATACTTACTGCATAAAAAGACGTTAAAAAATACTGTGTGAAAAACACAACAATAAAATCTAAATTATATAAACCGAAAAGGATTTTCCACATATGCCAACACTGCACATTACAACATCTGAAGTCTTTCACTCTCCACTCTTTAAGCCTGGGGGCCAAGGCCGCTCAGCACTGCTGGCAGCACCTCTGTAAAGCTGCAGCCTTAGACGGTGTATCTCTTCTCTCCTTCGTGTTTTGCCTTGTGATACTTCACGTAATCATTGTACAGCTCCTTAAAGATGTCTCTCACTCCTGGCTGCAGTGCGACCCGTAGGAACTGGATGTCTGGTTCAATGCAGAGGTCCAGGATGAGGTAGATGCCCTCCTGCAGAAGGCCTTTCACCGCCGGATACAAGGTGACCTAGGAAAGAAGGACACACCTCTGTAAGAGCAAACAAGCAGGGACTAAGGCCTGGGAAACCTGAAAAGGAATTCCAACTTCAGCCTCCAGTTTGAGAAAAGACACTCCTTTTAAAACACCATTTTGCACATAACTTAAATAACTGAATATTCATATGTTAAATGTTTGTATTTTGGGGAAATAGAAGCCAACTCAAGTGAACAAAAACCTGGAATAAAACATCACAAAATCACAGGGGTAGCTTTGCTATTCAGTAAGTGATGCCTGTGTGTTTACTAGGGAGATTTAAAAAGTGGAATCTTCAAATCTGAAATTCTTACAAGAGCCACCTGCACACTGTCAAATTCTTCCAGACAGTCAATCACACTGGAAGCTATACTAACCATGGGTTAACGGCTGCAGTGTTTACCACACAACTGACCCCACCTCCTGCTAGGCAGGCTCTGATGCCCTCCAGATCACTGATAGACTAGCAATTAGACCACATCAAATCACCCAGCATCAGATGTGATTTATGATTATACTTAATAGATCTTTTCATTTCTGTCAACAATAGCACAATGGGCCCTAAATTTCTAACTGACCCTGATGGCTGAATTGGTTCCTGTGCCTAAAGATGCATTTCTTCCCTGAAATTCTGGGTTAACTAAAATCTGGGGCATAGCAGGAAGGATGGGCAGTCCAGCTCCAACTAGGCTATATCAGATATTGCACACAAACTTTCAGATCAGAGATTCAGACTAACATCTAGACAAAAAGGCCAAGAGAGTAGGCTCCATTCCATTTGCCACAGCCACTCAGGCTTCGGCCTGAACACCCCAGTAGCTGAAACCAAAAGGCAGCAGAAAGGTTCCAGGTGACAGGCCTGGGATTGGTTGAGTCTTTGTTAATAACCTGATGAACTAGAAGAGTTATAGCTCTCTGCAAACACATAGCTTCTGGAGAGGAGACAGTTTATTAACTGGGAGTTTGATTCACCAAGGCAACCACTGGGAGGTACATTCCTGAAGAGACAATTTGTTTCTGTCCCTAAGATGATGCTATTCTTCAAAGTTATGGTCACTTTCACATGATAGTTCAAAAAATTTCTGACAGATCATCCTCTTAAATTTTACTATTTTATAGACGATAAGAACACAAGGGCTGAAGGTGAAATGTTGTCCGTGATTCCACAGTAAGGCATCAGGGAGAGGAAGAAAAAATAAAACAAAACACAAAAGTCCTGAATCTTCCTAGTGGAGTGAGGACTTTTTAAGTTGCTGCTCATTCATTCAGTTAATCATCACTCACTAAACAAGCAATTCCACTTCCAAAGGCAAAAAGCAGGGAAGTCACTTTCCCAGTGGCCGACTGAGATCTGAACCTGGTTCGAGTCCAGGACCCACGCTCTTCACGATTCCTTTACACGCTATCTCATTAGTGGAACAGACCAGAGAGTCTGCTGGGAAACAGGAAAACCAGTAGCATAAACCTACACAACCACTTCACATCTTTATGTTTCAGACAACTTATTTATAAAACAAGGGAAAAAGTCAATTTCTACAACAAACATCACAGGCCAATGAAGGAAAACCTCCTGAAGTAGCTTACAAGGACCTTAGGAACGATGAGCAGTGCAAACTATTTACTCTAAGCCATCAACATAGAGGGACAGTTGTCAATTGATTACAGGTAAAACAGAAGAGAAAAGTGACTATAATTTCCCTGACACATCTCCACTGTGACCCAGTCCTGTGTGGAGGGAACAAAAGCTGTAGGAGTCGCTGCTCCTCATCACTAGCACAGTTTCACCAGGCCATCGGCCCTAACTTCCGACAGACCTCCACTGATAGCCCATCCACAGATACACGAGGGAAGGCAAAGGAGATCCACTCAGCTACACTTGCTATCTAGCATTTAATTAAACTTAAAAGTGTCTTTCTAGTCTAGAAAGATTTATGGCTCTCTCAGGAGATGTCTCTAATGCATATGGAATATTTTCTTCATTACTGAATTAAAAACAATGAAAGATAAAACATGGACTGCCCTGCCAATGGATTCTGGGATGCTGCAGCCTTAGATATTTCCCAAGGCCTATGGCTTTCAAGATTAAAATTTAAAAACAACTGATAAGCATAAATTAGACACGAATAATGGGGCCAAAAGACCAGAGACTTCTCATAAAGTAAATCTCAGAATAAAAATTAGTGACTTAAGGGTTCAAATTACTGCCTTCCTTCTTGGCCCTCAGTTAAATGATATTACTATGTTTCCTTTTATTCTTCAGTGAAACAGAAAATACGCCAGTGTCTTCTTCCAGCAAAAGCTAACATATTAATGAGTCGAGTGCTTAGGAAATATCAAGATTCTATTAAAATGCTAAATAATTCCAAGGAAACCAAACTCTAAGCCCACACCTCATTCAAAGAATGATTTGTGAGGGTCTCTGTCTGCTGCAGCAGCCCTTACACACAGAGAGCCTGGTGAGGACCCAGCGCACGCCATGAGGCCAGGCTGCCTCCTGCAGCATTTCCCCCAGTCCCCACTGGACCAACTGTCCGCCCATATGACTGGCATCTCCACTGGCTGATGTGAGCAGTGCCAGTGGGTTTGCAAATTACTTAGTTACAGATTCATCCTGTTACAGGGTCAGGAAGAAAGCTAATGCAACACCAGATTTTCTGAGGAAGCCCATGCAGCCTAATCTCCCTTGAGAAATGCTGACATCACTAACATAACATGTTTACCAGGGGTTTTAACATTATTCTTAGAAGGTTTACAAAGGGGGGATACTCTATGGAGAGAGATATATACAACATAAATGTATATCTACCCATGTGCAAGTGGACAGATATACACATGAACACACTGTCCTTGAAGCTTCTGAAATTTAATTTAAACAAAGTAAGGTATGTGGTCCTGTAGTCAACTCACAACATGAGTCACACAGGTCCTGTGGAATTTTGAAAATAGCACAGTGACATTCTAAAGTGAGATCACTGTTGAACAATCAATTATCCAGAATACTGAGGCAAAAGTCAGACTAAACAGGACAAAAGTATTTCTATTTAATCTAGCTGAATGAGTCTGCAGGTATCCCCACCGTGTCATCCACTTTGAGTGTCTGAGAGCAGCTGAGTCACATGCACGACAGATCCCAAGACTACAGATCCATGGGGCTGGCCCCGTGGTGCAGCGGTTAAGTGCACACGTTCCGCTTCTTGGTGGCCTGGGTTCACCAGTTTAGATCCCAGGTGTGGACGTGGCACGGCTTGGCAACAGCCATGCTGTGGTAGGCATCCCACATATAAAGTAGAGGAAGATGGGCACAGATGTTAGCTCAGGGCCAGTCTTCCTCAGCAAAAAGAGGAGGATTGGTAGTAGTAAGCTCCGGGTTAACCTTCCTCAAAAAAAAAAAGAGTAGAGATCCGTGAACTCCTGCTGCTGAGGGGACCCAGGACCCCTCTTCCTGGTTGCCATTAGACCCAGTCCTGTGAGAGTTCCTGTTCTTGGACCTGGGTAACATTTCACCTCCCTTATTACTCAGGAGCCTGAGGTTTGGGCTGGTGCAAGAAGAAAGATCTAACAGTGACTGAGCACCTCCTAGGTACCAGGCCACTGCCAGCCCTGTGAATGTCACTTTGTTCAGTCTTTGCAATAACCCTGCAGGGTGCTGCTCAACACCAGAAGATATACAGAACAGCCCACAACAGAGGATGATCAGGCCCAAAATGTCACTTGCCCCCTTGGTTGAGAAGTCCTGCTATAAACGGCTGTAAATGAAAGCACGTGATGAGAGACAGTCAGCTTGGTTTACCTTCTGTGCCTCCGTCACATACTGGGCCACCATAAAGGGGGAAAACACTGTGAACTCTTCAGCCCGGGCTGCGATGTGGCTGTACATCCTTCCCACTAGGCGGGCACAGTCTAGAACCACCATCAGGTCATCTGTGCTTCCTACAGAAGCAAAGTGTTTCCAAAGCAATTAGTTCAAAAACAGTGCATTTTAACTCTTCTAATTTTATACTTTTAATACAGTCTAAAGATATTCAAACCTTCCATCTTTTCCCAGACTCTTTAATTGGCTACTTTGAAGACAGAATGAGGGAAGAGATGATATATCCAAATATTTATCTCTCTTACAAAAAGAACACTTAAAATACTCGAGTACATGGGGTTTTTTTTTAAGAGTACGGTAACCAAGATTTTTAGGAAAACATCTAGGATTGTTCTTGTATTTAAAAAGGAAATTGATCTCTACAAGGAAGGCTTAAAATGGGGGAAAAAATGGAACATTATCTTAAAAAAATGAGTTTTGACATCATATGATTTTACAGATAAGATGGCCTAATTATGTCTTTGCCTCCTTAAGTTTCAGAAATTGTGCAGAATTTTTCCTTTATAGGCAGATGGATATAAGACTCAATTATCATCACTAGATATCCTCCTGTCTTCCTAGATTTATTTCTGATTCCTAGTTCTTTCTACTTTAAGGTGCCAGGACCATCCAGGCTCTTCTTAATAAACTCCTCTCAAGAATTCTAACAGCCTCAAATGTGCCCACAGCCCAGTTTACACCTGCTCCTGAGGCCTTCACAACAGACCCCAGGTGGGGAACCCCAGCATATGTCAGAGCACCTCCCCAGCTTTCATTCAGCATAGTGATATACCCATTTTCATAAAATTCCAGAAAATGCAAACACATCTACAGTGACAAAAAGCAGATCAGTGGTGGGCTGGGGCCAGGGGGAGAAATGGACTGCAGGCGGACAGTTTTGGGGATGATGCAAAAGTCCTGTATTTTGACTGTGGTGGTGGTTTCCTGCATGTATTTACCTATCAAAACTCATTAAATTGTGTATTTTAAACAAATACAGTTTGTTACACATATATCATATATAAAAACTTGATTTTTAGAATGCACAATGTCTTTTTTTTTTACCTTGAATATACATACAAACATCTTGCATATATGCAATTTTTCTAGATCACTGTAATTTTATGAAATTATGTGAACTGCTAACACTCACTGGACATTTCAACAGGTAATACACTTCACCAAGAAGCACTTTAATATCTAACATGTACCATTTCTTCTCTATTTTCAGACTGCTCAACATACACATCCAGTTCACAACATGAATATCTGGCATTTATTACTTCAGCCACAGATTTAATCTGTGGTCATTAAAGAGTGCATTAGATACCAACAAAAGGAGAGTAAATAGTTAAAACTCTACTCAGTTAAGCCATGAATACACCAGAGAACCAAATCTTGGCAGACTAGAGGTGACTGAGCTATGCCAAAACGGATGTAGCACAGAACTACTCATGTGGAACGTGTCCTCACACTTCCTCAGAACACATGACAAAGGACACATTTACAACTACATGTAGGACACACCTGTGGCAGGGTGTGTGAAGGGCTCTGCTCCACCACTGCTCAGCGAGGCCTGGGCCAGGGCAGCCCCCTACTCGGACATTTCCCATCTCCTGTCTAGGCAGACAACACCAGCTGGAATAGGGATTCTTTCTTGCTGAGCTCAGACTCGACCCTAGAGGCCTCAACACAGAATCGTAGGTAGCCACCATCAACTGACGTAGGCTAGCTTGGGAGAGGGAATCTGCTTCCCAATCCTGCCCCCAAATATATTCACAACATTACATTGACACGTGCTCTGCACTAGGCATGGGAGAAGGTGAAATACCTAACTGTGCCACTGACTGATCCCAAAACCAGGCAGAGTAATTTGGGAATTATAATTAAGGGTTAACTACATTCCTTCTCTTTTCTCAAAAGTTAATTGTTTTAAGTAGCTATTGCTTAAATCTACAAGTCTCAACCTATTAAACTGATTCACACTGGCAGAGAAGTTGGATACAACTCATATATTTCTAGCCTGCCACAGGTTCTCCCTGACAACCTCCAAATTGAGTTGTAAACCACTCCTTTGTGGTCCCAGAGCATCCCACCAGATACCCTATCTTCGTGCAGAGCACATCACATGGTACGAGGCTGTTCCATGCTATGCAGATTTGAAATAGTGCAATACAGACAGTCTCACTTTATATGCAAATTTTTAGATAATAAGAATCTCCCTCAAATTAGAAATTTAGCAAAAACCAACAAACTTCAAGGCTGAAAAATAAGCTGTACACATAATTTATGCTATTGTCATGTGGCAGTTTGCTTCATTGGTAAACAAATATAACCTTGCCAAGATGAGGCTGGACTGGTGAGTCCAGGAACTCATTCCTTCTATAAAAGGCGATGGCTCTGTAACTGCCCATTCCTTTGTAATCTCTCCTATTAAATTACAAACTCCTTAAGGGCAAGAATGGGATTGCAGTCAATTTTATATCCCCTTTATATGAGCGTAAATATTCCTGAATCTAGCCACTTTTTCCCCCCAGGAAAATAACTATTTCAATCAGGAGATGGCAAATGCATTCACTGTTTTGGATACAGGAAAACAAGGTGACAGTTTGAAATTTTTTTAAAAAATTGTATTGAGTATTCATCCGATGATCTGAGTATTTTTCTTATTCAAACTCAACTGGGTGGTTCAGTAACATATGTAGTGAGAGCTACCACAAGATGAACATACTTGATATTGCGCATCTGATACTATTACTCTGAATTACCTTTGTCCTTCTGCCGCCCTTCATGCATAACTGAAAACACCAACTTATTGAAACAGTTCAAGAAAGAAGGGATGGCTTTCAGCATAACCTGTAATAAAAGACAAAAGAATATAAAAACATGTAAGTAATTGTTTATTTCAAGCTCTTCTACTTTAAAGGAGCTCATATTTATCCTTCTTAACCTTACCTATCAAGATACTCAAAACAGTTGTGGCAACTTCTTTTTGCCTAGACATTCTGGAGAAATTGCTCACTCACCTTACTTGACTCTTCAGCATCTGTTTCAATGGTTTAGGGTAGGGATTCCATGTTGCATAACTTTAGGAATCAAATGAAGCAATCCTAGTTTAGAATTTGCTGAATTTGTGTCTTTTACTTTAACTGTTACTAGTGCATTCTGGAAATGAGTAGAAATAAATAATAAAAGGAACAGTAACCAAAGTATTCAACTATAATTGGCACTGGAAAAAAGATTATACAAAGCAAATTCATTTAAAATGAGGATCAAAACTTCTCATTTTTTAGTGATGAAAATGTCTGGCTGAGACTTTATCTTGAAAAATGATATTAAAATTATAAAACGTGAGAGAGGATCCAAGATGGCGCTGTGAGTAGTCCTCTTTGTCTCTCCCCCTTCGAGGCTACAATTATTTGGACACTCATTGCTTAACAAAGGATATCCAGACAGCATCTCAGGACGTCTGAGAGACCCACGTACTATACATCGGAAGGCGGACGGACTTCCCTCCGGGAGGAGGTAGACATAGGTGAAAACTCTCCGACCCCGACCGAACAGCCTAGTACCTGCAAGTGGCTTTCTTCCAACGGACGCCCCCAGAAGATCAACACACACCTAGGGCAGGAGTGAGCACACACCAGAGGAGCGACGGTGGAAACAGGTGACCAGAACCCTACCTAAACCCCCTGCAATTACTCCTAAATGCAGGGGGAAACTCTAGAGTTACACACCTGAGCCCGCGGGGAGTCTCGCCCCACCATTGGCAGGGAGATCCCGCCTAGTGTTCACGGCGCCCAGAGGGTCCCAGAGAGAATCACTGAGGGTACGGCGGCCCCCCGGCTGCCACTGCCTGCACGGTGGGGAAAGGGATTGCCGGAGATCTCAGAGAGGACTGGGGCTGGGTGAAGCTCCAGAGGCCGGCTCCACGCCCCAGAGGGGAAGCTCCAGAGTTCCGCCCGGGCAGCAGACGAAACTCTCTGTTTGCCATTAGCGGAGGGGCCACGCCCAGCATCCACAACACCAGGAGGGTCCCAGAGAGGAGAATATCAGGCAGGGCAGCAGCTGACCAGCTACTACTGAAATCAGGATCTCCGGCTATCCCCCAGACAGGGCAAAGGGCTCCCCGAGTTCCTGGGGAACAGGACTGGGGCTGGGTGGAGTTCCAGCAACCCACCTCTGTAGCCTAGGGGGAAACCCTACAGGCTCACGGCAGCCTCAGGGAAAGCCTCTGCACAGCACTAGTAGAGAGCACCCATCCGGCAGCCACAAGGCTGGAAGACCCCGGGACAAAAGTAGCATAGCTAGGTGAGCTAACCACAGACTGTAGAAGATGCCAATAGCTCTGCTGCGACCCATAGTGGACAAGTGAGATTTTGTGGGTGCCGACAGTGATGGAGCAGCAAATATAAGTGATCCTACCCCTGGCCGCTGGAAAAGCCCATAACACCATTGCAGACCCCAAGGAGGGAGCACGTCTAGGTGGGCTGCAACAGTAGGCACCAGCAGCCTGAAGCCTCCCCATGACGGCCCCCACAGCAGAAGAGGGAATCCAAAGGACCACTGTGACTACGAGGAGGGGCCCAGACCCAGTTAGCAACTGCGGAGAGGATTCCTGGTTGGTGCAGTATAAACAGCTGCTCCCCCACCACACCAGCAGAAACAAGTGGAAGGAGCAACTAAACTCTATCTCTATGCGGAGGCACAAATCAACAACATCAAGCAATATGAAAAAATACATTAAATCTCCAGAACAGATGGAAAATTACAAATACACAGAAAACAATCCCAAAAAAATGAGATATATAACCTAAATGACAATGACTTCAAAACAGCCATCATTAAAATACTCAATGAGTTAAGAGAGAATTCAGATAGACAACTCAACGAGTTCAGGAGCTATGTCACAAAAGAGTTTGATACGATAAAGAAGAACCAAACAGAAATACTAGAAATGAAGAACACAATAGAGGAGATTAAGAAAAATCTAGATGCACTGAACAGTAGGGCCAATAATATGGAGGAAAGAATTAGCAATGTGGAAGATGGGAATACAGAAATGCTGCAGGCAGAGGAGGAGAGAGAAGTAAGACTAAAAAGAAATGAAGAAACTCTCCAAGAATTATCAGACACAATTAGGAGATGCAACGTAAGGATTATAGGTATACCAGAGGGAGAAGAGAAGGAGAAAGGGGCAGAAAGCCTATTCAAAGAAATAATGGCTGAGAACTTCCCAAATCTGGTGAGAGAGATGGATCTTCAGGTGACAGAAGCCAATAGATCTCCAAACTTTATCAATGCAAGAAGACCAACCCCACGGCATATAGTAGTGAAGCTAGCAAAAGTCAATGACAAGGAGAAAATACTAAGGACAGCCAGGCAAAAGAAACTAACCTACAAAGGAACCTCCATCAGGCTATCAGCAGATTTCTCAGCAGAAACCTTACAGGCTAGAAGAGAGTGGAATGATATATTCAAAAATCTGAAGGACAAAAACCTACAGCCGACAATTCTCTACCCAGCGAAAATATCCTTCAAATATGATGGAGAAATAAAAACTTTCCCAGATAAACAAAAATTAAGGGAGTTCATTGCCACAAAACCTCCTCTTCAGGAAATCCTCAGGAAAACCCTCATTCCTGAAAAATCCAAAAAAGGAAAGGGGCTACAAAACCAAGAGCAGAGGAGATAAGTAGAAGGACAACAACAGAGAGTAGCAGCTCTTCATCGGAACAGATTAAACCATGGGACAAGAAACAAAGGAAATTGAAGAAAACCGGAAAACAAGACATAAAATGGTAGTGGTAGGCCCCCACATCTCAATAATCACTCTAAATGTAAATGGATTGAACTCCCCAATCAAAAGACACAGAGTGGCAGGATGGATCAAAGAACAAGATCCAACAATATGCTGCCTCCAGGAAACACACCTCAGCCCCAAAGACAAACACAGACTCAGAGTGAAGGGATGGAGAACAATACTCCAAGCTAATAATGAACAAAAGAAAGCAGGTGTCGCTATACTAATATCAGACAAGGTAGACTTCAAAGCAAAACAGATAAAGAAAGACAAAGAGGGACAGTATATAATGATAAAAGGGACTCCCCACCAAGAAGACATAACACTTATAAATATATACGCACCCAACACAGGAGCACCAAAATTTGTAAAGCAACTCTTAATAGAACTAAAAGAAGACATCAACAACAATACAATAATAGTAGGGGACCTCAACACACCATTAACACCAATGGACAGAACATCCAGACAGAAAATCAACAAGGAAATAATAGAATTAAATGAAAAATTAGACCAGATGGACTTAATAGATATATATATAGAACACTTCATCCAAAAACAGCAGGTTACACATTCTTCTCAAGTGCACATGGAAGATTCTCAAGGATTGACCATATTTTGGGAAACAAAGCAAACATCAATAAATACAAGAGAGTTGAAATAATATCAAGAATCTTTTCTGATCATAATGCTATGAAACTAGAAATCAACTACAAGAAAAAAGCAGAGAAAGGTGCAAAAATGTGGAGACTAAACAACATGCTTCTGAACAAACAATGGATCATTGAAGAAATTAAAGAAGAAATCAAATATTATCTGGAGACAAATGAAAATGAGAACACGACATACCAAATCATTTGGGATGCAGCAAAAGCAGATCTAAGAGGGAAATTCATCGCAATACAGGCTCACCTCACTAAACAAGAAAAGGCTCACATAAGCAACCTCAAATGACACCCAACAGAACTAGAAAAAGAAGAACAAACAAAGCCCAGAGTCAGTAGAAGGAGGGAAATAATAAAAATAAGAGCAGAAATAAACGATATTGAAACAAAAAAGACAATAGAAAGGATCAATGAAACAAAGAGTTGGTTCTTTGAAAAAATTAACAAAATCAACAAACCTTTAGCCAGACTCACCAAGAAAAGAAGAGAGAAATCGCAAATAAATAAGATTAGGAATGAGAGAGGAGAAATCACAACAGATACCAATGAAATACAAGGGATCATAAGAGAATACTATGAAAAACTATACGCCAACAAATTGAACAACCTGGAAGAAATGGACAAATTCCTAGACTCCTACAATCTCCCCAAACTGAATCAGGAAGAAATGGAGAATCTGAATAGGCCAATCACAAATAAGGAAATAGAAACGGTAATCAAACACCTCCCCAAAAATAAGAGTCCAGGACCAGACGGCTTCTCTGGAGAATTCTACCAAACATTCAAAGAAGACTTAATACCTATTCTTCTCAATCTATTCCAGAAAATTGAGGAAGATGGAGTACTCCCTAACACATTCTATGAAGCCAACATCACTCTGATCCCCAAACCTGACAAGGACAACACAAAGAAGGAGAACTACAGGCCGATATCACTGATGAACACAGATGTAAAAATCCTCAACAAAATTTTGGCAAACCGAATACAGCAATACATCAAAAAAATTATACACCATGATCAAGTGGGATTTATACCAGGGACACAGGGATGATTCAACATCCGCAAGTCAATCAACGTGATACACTACATCAACAAAATGAAAAACAAAAACCACATGATCATCTCAATAGATGCAGAGAAAGCATTCAACAAGATCCAACACCCATTTATGATAAAAACCCTCAATAAAATGGGTATAGAAGGAAGGTACCTCAACATAATAAAGGCCATATATGACAGACCCACAGCCAACATCATACTCAATGGACAAAAACTGAAAGCCATCCCTCTGAGGACAGGAACAAGACAAGGGTGCCCACTTTCACCACTCCTATTCAACATAGTACTGGAGGTGTTGGCCAGAGCAATTCGGCAGGAAAAAGAAATAAAAGGAATCCAAATAGGCAATGAAGAAGTAAAACTCTCGCTGTTTGCAGACAACATGATCTTATATATAGAAAACCCCAAAGAATCCATAGAAAAACTATTAGAAATAATCAACAACTACAGCAGAGTAGCAGGGTATAAAATCAACATACATAAATCAGTAGCATTTCTATACACTAACAATGAACTAACAGAAAAAGAACTCAAGAACTCAATCCCATTCACAATCGCAATGAAAAGAATAAAATACCTTGGGGTAAACTTAACCAAGGAAGTGAAGGATCTATACAATGAAAACTACAAGACTTTCTTGAAAGAAATTGACGACGACATAAAGAGATGGAAAGACATTCCATGCACATGGATTGGAAGAATAAACATAGTTAAAATGTCCATACTACCTAAAGCAATATACAGATTCAATGCTATCCCAATCAGAATCCCAAGAACATTCTTCACAGAAATTGAACAAAGAATCCTAAAATTCATATGGGGCAACAAAAGACCGTGAATTGCTAAAGCAATCCTGAGCAAGAAAAACAAAGCCGGCGGAATCACAATCCCCGATTTCAAAACATACTACAAAGCTACAGTGATCAAAACAGCATGGTACTGGTACAAAAACAGGTCCACAGATCAATGGAACAGAATTGAAAGCCCAGAGATAAAACCACACATCTATGGACAGCTAATCTTCGACAAAGGAGCAGAGGGCCTACAATGGAGAAAAGAAAGTCTCTTCAACAAATGGTGCTGGGAAAACTGGACAGCCACATGAAAAAGATTGAAAATTGACCATTCTTTTTCACCACACACCAAAATAAACTCAAAATGGATCAAAGACCTAAAGATTAGGCCTGAAACAATAAGTCTTCTGGAAGAGAATATAGGCAGTACACTCTTTGACATCAGTTTCAAAAGAATCTTTTCGGACACTATAACTCCTCACTTGAGGGAAACAATAGAAAGAATAAACAAATGGGACTTCATCAGACTAAAGAGCTTCTTTAAGGCAAGGGAAAACAGGATTGAAACAAAAAAACAGCTCACTAATTGGGAAAAAATATTTACAAGCCACTTATCCGACAAAGGGTTAATCTCCATAATATACAAAGAACTCACACGGCTTAACAACAGAAAAACAAACAACCCGATCAAAAAATGGGCAGAGGACATGAACAGACATTTCTCAAAAGAAGATATGAATATGGCCAATAGACACATGAAAAGATGTTCATCATCGCTAATCATCAGGGAAATGCAAATCAAAACTACACTAAGATATCACCTTACACCCGTTAGATTGGCAAAAACATCCAAAACCAAGAGCGACAAATGTTGGAGAGGTTGTGGAGAAAAAGGAACCCTCATATACTGTTGGTGGGAATGCAAACTGGTACAGCCACTATGGAAAGCGGTATGGAGATTTCTCAAAAAGTTAAAAATAGAAATACCCTATGACCCAGCCATCCCATTACTGGGTATCTATCCTAAGAACCTGAAATCAGAAATCCCAAGAGTCCCTTGTACCCCTAGGTTCATCACAGCATTATTTACAATAGCCAAGACGTGGAACCAACCTACGTGCCCAGAAACAGATGATTGGACAAAGAAGATATGGTATATATACACAATGGAATACTACTCAGCCACAGAAAAAGACAAAATTGGCCCATTCACAGCAACGTGGATGGACCTCGAGGGTATTATGTTAAGCGAAATAAGCCAGTCAGAGAAAGACGAACTCTATATGACTCCACTCATAGGTGGAAGTTAATATATTGACAAGGAGATCTGATCGGTGGTTACCAGGGAAAAGGGGGGGCGAGGGGAGGGCACAAAGGGGGAAGTGGTGTACCCACAACATGACTAACAAAAATGTACAACTGAAATCTCACAAGCTTGTAATCTATCATAACATTAATAAAAAAAATTTAAAAAAATAAAAAAAAATTATAAAACGTGCTTCTTTTATACTCAACCATCCTTAGATTGTGATCAAAACAATATACTGTCCAATAAGCAGCCACAATCCACATGTAGCTACATAAATTTAAATTAATTAAAATGGAAATTCAGTCATATAGCTCCTAGACCACATTTCAAGTGGTCAAGACAAGTGTGGCCAGTGGTTACCATGCTGGACAATGAGATACAGAACACATCCATCACCACTGAAAGTTCCACTGGACAGCACTGCTCTAATTCTTAGAATGAACAGAGTAAATCAAGTGCTGGGATTCCTTTCTTTGGTATAATTTATCCAACCAAATTCTTGATAGCTTAACATCACAATCTTTACGTGAAATTATCAACCTTTGCAAACATCTTCAGAAAGAGATCATTTTTGCAAAAGCTTTCCAGAGCTTCATCAAATTTCCCAGGGAGCTCTCTTAATCCTCTATCAAATTGATTAAAAGCACACAAATCCAGGGCCAGACTATCTGAGCTCACACCCTGGCTTCATGTGTGATCCTGGACAGTCACCCAACCTTTCTGTGCCTGTTTCCTCATCTGCAAAATGATAATAATTATCAGTTGTCATGAGGATTAAATAAGTGAAAACATGTGAAGTGCTTAGAACAGCATTAGCTGCTGAGTGTTCTGCTGGGTACTCTGGCTATGCTGACTTCATGCTTCCCCCTTTACACTCAACTAAGCACACTCTAGCCTGGTACTTTTATCCACTCGGACCTACTGTACACACTGCCAACACTGTGAGCAAGTACCACATGGGGCCCTCTGCCCCTACTTTATCCCCCAGGCCACATGAGTGTGAGCTACTACCATCAGTCACATCATTCTTGACTGCAGTACCATGTCATTATTCTTATCAATTTTCTCCTTTCATTCAACAGTCTAATTCTGCTAAACGGTCATGTATTATTTGTCCTGCAGGAGATTTGCACAGTTTTCTAACATTACTTTCATCAACTACATGAAATCCTGCAGCTTTTGCAAGATTTGTAATTTCAGTTTGTAACTGATTTGTATTGCATTTATATTCTTTGATCACATAAAAATCTAACAATCAGCAGAGAGATTTAATAACAAAGATGCTGACAAGTGGGGCAGGGCCAAAGGCAACTGTTAAGTGGGGAAGGCAGTGGAGTGCGGCCCAATGTCATGAGTGCTTAATTTGCCAGAGAATAAATTTTTTTTTTTTAAAGATTTTATTTTTCCTTCTTCTCCCCAAAGCCCCCGGTACACAGGTGTATATATTTTTAGTTGTGGGTCCTTCTAGTTGTAGCATGCGGGATGCCGCCTCAACATGGCCTGATGAGCAGTGCCATGTCCACGTCCAGGATCTGAACCGGCGAAACCCTGGGCCACCGAAGCGGAGCACACCAACCCAACCACTCAGCCACGGGGCCGGCCCCAGAATAAATTTTTTTAAAAACTGCATTGCTGGCAGGTCCCTAACCTTATAACATTAAAATACTTAAAAATATGTGTGCCTGTGTATATGTTCATCTATCCTATTTATGAGTTCCCATGCATCACATGTATGGAGGTGGTACAGTGAAAAAGAACACTGGTTAAAGAAATCAGCAGACTGAAGTTAAGATGTGGACTCAGCTGGGTGACACTGGTCAAATCACTTAACAGCTCTAAGCCTCAGTTTCTTTATCAATAAAATGGGATAACCACTTACTTCACAGACTTGCTGTAGGGGTGAAATGAGACACACAGCAAAGGTTCAATAAATGTTGGCTGAACTGGCATCTTTTCTATGGGACATTAATTCCTAGTCTCAGTTTAATTTAAAAGACAGCATACTTCAATAAAAAGAAAAGTGATCTACTAATGACCAAGTAATATTGAAAAATGCATGTAAAACATCTAGATAAAATTGTTTTATGAAATAAAGGAGTGCAGGAAAAAACAAACAAAAAAAGGGCAGCATACTTGTCAACTGAGAACTCAGGATGCCTCACTCCCTAGACCCATTTGAATTAGAAACCCAAGAAGAGATCTAAGCAAGTAAGTAATATTTAAATATGTGGTCTGCAAAAACAGAATTTCTAATGAGCTTTCTTAAAAGCTAGTACACAGACACTGTTCAAAGTGTCAGATCCAACAAAGACGAACTCACACAAACAGCCCAATGTGAAGGTCAAGCATTTGTGTGCTTGAGAAACTGCTCTGGCCCTGGAAATTACTGGAACCAAAAACTTTGCTTAGCAAATCATTATTTTTATTATCCTGCAACAGTAAAGTTCTACAGCTGCTATTCTGATGGCTGAAATGACCCTGCTAATAAAGAAAAGGCTGCCTGGTGCCCTGTTCCTCCTCCTTACCTTCGGGTGACACTGCAGGATTGAGAAGAGCACATTGTGCACTCTTGGGAAGATGCTCCCATACTCGAAGGGCTTCAGGTGGTCCAAAGGGACTGTGAGTAGGATGCTGAAGGCCAGGCTGACATGGTGCGGGTTGCTGACGGTCTCCTCCCCCTGCCGCAGCAGTGCGGCCAGCACATCCAAAATGGGCCCCACCACTGCCAGGGGCACAGGCTGCTCCTGACAAGCCTCTCGGTTTTGTAGCTATTACGACAAGAAGGAATCAAGGAAAGAAAATGAAGGTAACTTTCCAGAGAAATAACAAAAAAACTGAACCAGGCAGGTAAAAACTGAAGTGGCAGGGGTAAGAACGTCCACACTCCAAAATGAATTGATGTGGTCAGTGGGCAGTTTGAAGAGACAAGGAGGCCAGTGTCCAATCTCCAAGGGCAACCTACTATGGAATTGGCTGTTTCAGTCCACACTTTTTGTTGGATTCATCTACCATGAAGAGAAGTAATTTCTTATAAAAGAGTTGACTCATCCAACTTAGAACAAGAAAACTTCACATCAGACATAGATAACATTTTCCTAAAAAGATGATGCATTCCACATCTATAATTAAACTTCATTTGTTACAGTTGTTAAAAATCAACTCTAGTTAAAGATGTTCAATTATCATTCTAGAGGAGGGAGAGAACAGACTCCAGATGAGGGAAAGCTCAAAGTCCTCCATACAGAACCTGGGAGAGCTCACCCATGACCCTCCTCCTCACACAGCCATCTGTAAACAGCACCCTTGTGAGGCTTTGGGGGCCTATCTCTCACAATGCTCATCTATTTTTGGGTACTCTGGCTGCACTGACTTCACGCTATCCCCTTTATATTTACCTAAGCAGTTCCTAGCCTGTGTTTATATCAATGTGGACTGCCAACACAGATCACACACCACATGGGCCCCTCTACCCGCTCCCCATTCCTCCTCCTGCTGCCCACTACACATACTAGGTAGACATGGGATTCGTCCACGAATAGAGATTCCTAGGAAAGTGACGACACAACAAAATGGAAGAACAGAAGAGAATGTAAGTCTATTCTTTAGACCTTCTGCCCTGAGAATATGCAAATCCAGGGCAATTCTGTCAGTAACAAACGCTAGAATGAGAGCTGATAACAATGTTAAAATAGATGCTGCTCTTTTGAATCCAGGTCTAAGAATACTGACGCCAGACTCCTCAAAGGGCAGAAACATGGAGATAGTCCCAAGCTGAAGTAAGTTTGTGTTCTAGTGAAGCAAAAAGTCATGTATCTACTGTGTATATTCACCAGGTACCAAAATGTAACATCTAGGTGAGATTATATCAATAACCTACCCGTAACATTACTACCCCATTCTATAAAGCCATTATTTCTTACTGCGTCATAGATGTGCGTCATTTAAACACACACACACCCCTATAAGGGAATGAATGCATTGAACTGATCACAAAATTTTGTGGGGGCAAAGAAAGCCCCAAGATTCCTCCTCATCTCATCTAATTTAGACAGGCCCCCACAGTAGCCTCATCACGCCACCACATTCTTTCTATCACTGCCTGTCCAATGCTCCCTAGTGCTCCTCGATGCCCCTTCACACCCCGTCTCTACTGAGGACACCCATGTGTGCAGACAGACAAAAGCACCAGCAGGACACGTACTGACAAAAAAGCATTCTGCTCAAAGCCACCTTCAGGATGCAGCCCCAAAACACACTCTGCATAAACTCAGAAAATAGCAGAAGAAAACACCGCCTTCTGTCTCTACAGGAAGAAGAGGGATGAGATACAGGGCACAATCCAGAGGGTACTCACAATCAGAGCCGTGACTATCTGGGGGCACGCACGCCAGAACAAACTTGCCTTCTCTCCACTGAAGAGGCAGCTCAGTAGCAACTTGATCAATGTAACAGCAGATAAAATGGCCTAGGATAAAAGGAAAAAAACTTAGCAGAAACAGCCAAGCTTTCTCTTAAGAAGTCCATGTTGGGAAGCAGCCTGGTCTCTGGTGCTGAGGCGATAAAGCAGAAGCCCGTCAGAACCCTGGTGTCGGGGCATGGATGAAACCAGGCTGGGGTTAAGTCCTGAGGGTGATGTCCTTTATGTCACCACACAGTCAGGGAATCAACAAATAAGATGAGGAGAACTAGGACAGAGTAAGGGCGCTTGTTTTCATTAGCATCTCATTAAACCAAACATGTACATGTGCCAGAGAGTAAAATAAAAGAAGGCCACAAACAAGTACTCTGGTCTAATTATAGATATCCCATCCTGTCAAAACAGTGTGGAAAGAGGAGGCTGGCTGTAACCTACCTGTGCAAAAACTGTATATGCTCACGGATAAAAGGAGGAAACACGGACAAAGTCAAACAGCTGGATTAGGTGTGGGAGTACAGGGGAGGGCTTAAACCATGTGAAGGGAAGTATGTGGGAAGGAAACTATCTTCACTGAGTGCCTCTGTCAATAAATATCTGACGCTGTGCCAGGCGTTTGATTGACACCATCAATTTCAGCGTCACATTAGTCTCTTCTTCCTCCCCTAACACTGCAGACCCACAGCCCACAAAATTCTGGCTTCCATCCTTTGCTCCTCGCTTTCCCTCTCACTCCCTGACTAGACACATCCCTACACACATTCCCTAATCCCCATCCCTAACCCTGTCAGCAGGCTCACTCTCTCCCCTGAGCTTAGGTCCCCCTCTCCCACCAACCTGCAGGGTGTGTCTACCCACCAAGGGCCTGAACGTTGATGCCTCCCTTGCCCGTCCATCTTCTCACACTCACACATCCTCTGCTCCCAGCAGAGGACACGCTCACTATGTTGTGCACACATCACCCTCCACCCTGTCTCCATAGCAATGTCCTTCCACTCCAGGCCACCCCCCTGAAATCCTATGAATGCTCGGTTTGAGTGTCATCTCCTTTGTGAATCTTCTCCGACTATCTGACTGGTTTAAACAGAAATTTATGGTTTATTTTTCCTTGGCTTGTGGAAGGGAAGCCCAGAAGCCTTCTCACAGCTATAGCTCAATCGTGCTGCAAAGACGCACAATGAAAACTTCCAGAGAGAGATGGGCAAGTGCTGCAGGCAGTGCAGAGCAGCCAATCTGGTCCAGCCTGGGCCTCATGCTCACGTAAAGGAGACATGAGTTCTCCCTGCTGCCCAACTCTGACCTAAATTACCCTCTCCAGCTCTCCTCCCACCCAAATCAAAACCCAATCCTTGTGTGTTGATTATAATCAGAAATCAAGAAGCCACTTGTGATGCAGAGAAAGCTCAGAACTAGAAGACTTGGGTCGTAATCCTGGCCCCACAATAGTTAGCTCTGTGGGTTTATTCCTCCTGTGCAAGCAGGGACAATATCTGACCAGTCCAATGCATGGGCCGTTGAGAGTACCAAATCTAGCATGTGATCTCCATGCACGGGCTCAGTAAAATACGTAATGCCAAATGCAAATACAGGGCTTTATTAGCAACTACCAAATAAACAAAGGCGCAAAGGATTGAGGGCAGCTTGCTAACTTGAGTGATTCTCAAATGGGAGCCAGGCTGTATGACCAAATCAAGTAAAATTTTTCAAAAAGTATGACGAGGAAGATCTTAAACAATGGATGAACAGAATTTAACTTTTTACGTTAATGTCAACATTTATATCATATTTAGTATTTCACATAACAAGAACACACAGTTGCAATTTGAAAAAGTTTCCCTTTGAAAAATAAGACCTCCTTACATTGAGGCCCTGGGCCTCTCGAGAGGCCAGAGCTCCCTCCGCAAACTCCCTTTTTGCCTATAGTGTCTATTGGTCTGACTGTGTGTGCTTAATTAGTTTTAGGGGTGACGCTGCATCTCAAATAACTTTTCCCATTTGAGCAAATACTGTCTACATGCCTGCCACACAAGCAAGAAAGGAGCTACACACCTGTAAATCTGCTCTCCACATATTACAGATGTCTAATCCTTGGAGAATATATCGCATCACCATCCTGAAGTCCTCTGTTGTCCCAACCTCTAACATTTGGGTGAACAAGGCTCCCAAATGAGGTTCAAAATCCTGAATTACCTGAACTGAAATTGCAGGATCTGTGTGGAAAAGAAATCAAAACTGTCAAGATGTGATAGACAAGAGGCAGGTGAAACAAACCAGAGCAGCTATATGATGAAACAGAGTGCAGCCAACAAATTAAGTCACCATTTCAGCGGCATGGAAATACTCATGTGTAGGTGAAAAAACCAGGACACACAACATTTACAGCATGACACCAGCATCTCACACACAGTGCAAAGAAGAGCCTGACAGAATGATAATGTTTAGCAGTGCTTAACTCTGGACCATGGGAGATAGGTCACTCTTACTTTCTTTATACTTTTTTTCTACTTTCCTTTTATTCTTTTATATAATCAGTAGGAACACAGGGGTGGATGGTACTTTTAAACAGATGGGAACGTTAAAGAGATTAAAAGAATCTCAAACTTCTGGGGACCTGCCTGTCAGTCATCCAGCTGTTTCCCACTTAATGCGGGACAGCCTTCTATCGTCCCAGGGTCCTGTGGCCCACAGTTTCAGAATAAAACTCGAGGTTAGGGCCTTTAAGGCCCTTTATAATCTGACCCCAGCTTATCTTTCCAGCCATGTTTCAGCCCATCAGACTATTCCACATTGCCAGAATACCTTCCTACGTCCCAGGGCTTTGCTTACTACATACAGCATGGTGGGGAGGGGAGGACCAAAGGCTTTGAGAGAAAGATGTAGGTCCGAGTCTCCTACAAGCTGTAAGATCCTGGACTCATGACCTCTCTGAGCCTTAATTCCCACATCAGTGAAATGGGCAGAACAGCACCAACTCCTGTGGTTGGCAAATAAAATAAAGGGCACTGCGGAGTGTCTACCACATGGAAGGCTCAGCATTAGCACTCCCCACCATCTCCACTGGCCCTACCTATCCCTCTGAGGCCACTGCTTACTAACACTTTGCCTGCATGCACCTTTCAACCCAAAGTCCATAGTTCTGGGCCACTTTATAGCAACTGTCCTGTAATTTGTATAATTTATGTGAGTGCCTGTTTACTTAATTAGATAGGTCAAAATCAACACTTCAGTCATCTCCAGAGTAGGACAGAGTTCCACACATTTTTAAGCATTTTAAGCATTTTTAAAAGTGATGGTTTCTATAATTGAATTGAGGTAGTCTATTCCACTGTGAGAAAGTATCCTTACAAATGCTCATTTTTATGAGCTGAAACCTATGTGAATCAAGTCTGAGGATACAGGTGGCCACCCTTTGGTTATTCAAAGCCACCTTGATGCTCCCTCTCTCGCCCAAAGCCTTGGGCGACTCCTCACTTGGCATTTCTTCCAGACTTCTCTCTCCTCTAGTCCCTTCTCTAGACACAGTCCAGCAGCTCAGGTGTATGAGGCATGGACCAAGTGGCAACACTTGGGCCCGTGGTCTGAGGGCTCAGTAGGGCAGCTGGCCTCATCCCCTCCAAGAGCATGACTGAGATTTTGTCCTTGGAGTCAGAAGTACCACAAGCCAAAGGACACACAGTTAGAACTCAGAGGCAACCTCAACTCACAAAGGTTGGAGGAAAAAAGGAGGAACACAATATTTTGTTTAACAAAGGGGCAGAGGGGGCAGAGGTTTAGACCACCAGCTGCCATTTCTTAGAACATTAATTTAGAACACTGTAACTAGTGTTAATAAAAGACTAAATTTTAGCCCCCATTAAGAAGGTGAACACCATTCCTTAAAAAAGTTGCTGAAAGAATAAGATAGAACATGTGACACCAAAGCCTTTCAGTCAATCCACAATCAAGGCAGAGATAGAAAGGCTATTCAAAGGGAGACAATAGCAGCGTTATTCAGGCCACACACTTCAGTTCTGGCGCTGGCCCAGGCAGACTAGTCAGCTTTACTTCCTACAAGGCCTCATTTAATGCTTTTGTATCTGAGCATGACTGTGGCCCCATCTCGCCCATCACAGCTTCTCCACAGGGAAATAGAGAAGTTGGCATGGGTTCTGAGGGTTAGGCTTGGCTGATGGACCACCCCCCAAACTCACCTCAAAGGACTATCATAACTAACCTCAACCCCTCAATAACCAAAACAAAAAGGCAAAACGAACCCACACCAACTTGAAACAGTTAGGGATGAAATCTAGCCCAGTAACCTTTGACCTAAAGGACAAGAGATATCGAATCATCCTGCACGAAGACACTGGCTGGGTTTGCGTTTCTGATCAGCTGGCCTAGAAAGTCAATATCCAACTGAAAGGCCCAGATGACATCACAGGCTGAGCCTCTTTCTGGCCAGCACCTATAGCCCCAATGATAGCTGGGCACCACACTGAGACCTAGGGGTTGAAGTTCTGCCCTCAAGGGATTTTATGAATTTCCCTAAAAATCAGTCATTTGCATTTTTTAAAAGTTGGCAGATCTTGTATCTTTCTTAAGTCAACTGATGGCACTCAAGATCTAATACAGAAGAGCCTACTAATAAGGATGAATTTATCTGTTGACCATCCAGGGCCAGGACAGATAAAAACTAAAAGAGAATAGTATATCTCAAAACTATAAACTAGAACAATCTCCAAAATAAGTGAAAAACTAAGGTGCTAAACAACATATCGATAAGAATACCATTTGTATAAAAAGGCAAGGACACAACTGTGAGGGTGCTGCTTCCACGTGCAGAGAAGGCAGATATTGGAAATGCATTCCTGGGAGTCGACGGGAGGGGGGTTTTCTCACCACTCACCGTGTCGTTCCTTCTGAAATGAACACCTGCTCCAAGGTGGGGGGAAGCTCTCTTTGCCGGCCACTTAGCTAGCTTTCACCAAAAACTCTGCAGTGCAGAATCAACTCAAGAGAAAAGATCTTACCTGCAAGAACTTTTCTCACAGAATGAAATATGGAGATAAAAACAGAATCCTTCTTGGGATGTAGTTCTGGGGCCAAAAGGAACAGAGTTAAAAACCGCACAGCTGCCTGGAAAGACTGAGTGTCTCCTGCAAGAGCTGGCAACTCTGACAGTATTTGAGAGTAAACACTCTGGTAGAGGGCAGGATGGGAGAGCTGCATTTTGTCTGTCATTGGGGAAATCTCTGTCCCGTGGTGCCTGGAGTGCTGGCCCACATCTGCTTCCAAGAGTGTGCTAACCGACGAGATGAAGGCAGAGGGAAGGCGCCGGCCCTGCGCCCCATGTACCAAGCAGAGCTGGAGCACAACTCCAGTATGGAGAATGGCTTGCTGCAACAGCTCAGGCAGTGCTTCTGTGGCCTCGTGTTGCTGCATCCATTCTTTAACAAAAGGCCCCAGGACTTGGCATAACTTAGTTAAAGACACCAGAAGGAGCTGCCTGCCCAGAGGAGTTTGATTTTCCAATTGTTTGCCTGAAGTTGCTTCAGTGTACGGTTTGAACCTTGAGAGGAATGCGATGATTTTCCCAAAATTGAGCACCAAGCTCAGCTTTATCTGGATAAGCAACTGCATGAGCTGTTCTAAGAATGTCCCTATCACTTGGAGGAATTCCAACCAAGAAGGGTCATCCATATCAATAAGAAATCTACTACTCATTTTGAACAATGAGGTCAGTACAATCTCAAAAATATCACTAATGTACATGACTTTGAGCACTGAGCGGGCACTTTTGCCCCTTTGCAGGTAAGCAAGGAGCTGGTAGCAAGTCATCAAAAACTTGAGGTTCAGTGAGGAGGAGCAAGAGCCCCCCACCTTGCTGATGGCCATGGACAGTAACAGAAGAAAATAACACACATGATGGGGACTCAAGAGGTTGTCCAGTTGCAGAGTAGAAACAACTTCTAAAAGCCGCAGGATGCTGTCTAATTGTTCCCCCTCCAGCTGAATGGGAAAGTCGCTCCTGACCAAGGATAGTAAGTTTTGGGCAATTTCTCCTCTTGGTTCTACAACATCAGGTCCAACTTTTGCAAATATGTTTTCCCAGTGAGCCACAACCATGTGGTCCTTTACAAAAAGCCAGGGAAGCTGCTGACTAAGAAGACTAGAGTCACTTTGGACACCAGAACACAGAATGCTAGTACATCTTGCAGTTAGGCACATTAAGAAAGCAGAATGAAGGGACTGCATTTCTGGAAAGAGAGGGCTGTGAAGGACGGCCTTGGATATGTTCTCAAGTGTGACATTTAGCTCCTCATCTGCTGAGCCTTCCTGGGCTCTGCTCATTGGTAAAGTTCTTAGCAGGACATCAGCCAGGTATCTCACATCATCTGGAGAGAGGTACGATATTAAAATGGAGAGATTTGACATAACCAAGTGCCAGTGTGCTACGGGGTATGTGAGTGCACTCACTGTCCCCACTTCACCATCCCAGGAAGCTGCGGTCCTCTGAGTCAAGCTTTCTCTGCCAGAACCAAGAATGTAGGCAGCATCACACTTAAGAGAGTGGAGGGCTGCTTCAGACAGGAAACTAGTTTGCACCAAAGTCCTTTTCATTTTCTGCAGGTAGAGGTGTTCTAAGCAATATCTGCCGAGAGTGTCAAATTGAGCCACAAGCTTTTCTATCTTCTTCCAGTGGCATGTTTCTATACCTGGGAGCAATGAAGGGAGGTCAGAGACCTCTGGAACACCACCAGTAAAGGCCCCAGACACAGAGTGATACTGGCTACAGTTTAGACTAAGCATGGCATCAACCTGGGCCCAGGCGTATGAGAGCAGGAGCGCAGAGTCACTGACCTTCTGTAGCCACAGCTCACAGTCTGGGCCCTGGCAGTCCAGGAGAATGTGCAGCAGGGGCTTCACGAGCTCTTGGAGCATCCTTTCCATCGTGCACTGTGTCCGTCTGATGACAGGCAGAGGTGTGCTATTGTCCAGACTCCTCATATTGAACATGACGCAGTGCAGCAGCGAGCTCAGGGACAGGGACTTCAGGGCCATGTCGACATCAGCTCGCAGAGAAGGCAAGACCAAAGACTGGAACTTGTCCAGCACAAGGGACCATGCATCCAAGACCTGACTGGGGGGCAACTCCAGGAGGCACTCACAGAGCACCGTGGAGGGCCCTGCGGCCAGCACTGGCTGCCTCAGCGCCTCAGCAGCCGGACGACAGATCACCTCCAAAATCTCCTCAAACAACCGTGGCACCTGCCGGAGTTTGACATATGTTTGGAAGAGAGTGTTGATAAGTGCCTCCTGGGCTTTTCGGGTTCGAAACTCTGTTACTTCTGCATCAATCCACGCTGAAGCCAACAGGTCATCCAGGTCTGGCTCCAAAATCAAATGGTTCAGAGACATCAGAACCTTGAGGCAGCGGAACCAGGCCGGCACAGAGGCTTGGGAATGGTTTATCAGCAGCTCAGCCAAACGGCGGTAAAAGTGGAACTGAGCTTCTCCATGCCGAATCCTATCAGTGGCAATGTTGTAGATATTACTGTTGGCCACAGAGTTCAATAGCTGTTCCACAACCAGGAGTTCGGTGGTCCAGTCTGAGGTGGACAGGGCTTTTATCTGCTCCTCTGGCAGGTGGGAAAGCCTCAAGCAGCCAAATAGCCTGGGGAGCGCCCGGAAGCAGAGAAGCTGGTTCCCCTCCTTGAAGTAAGAATCTAGAAAGAGCTTATATAGCAAGGCCACTGAGTTGGCTACAACAGCAGCATGAAGGGATGGTTCACAGTAGCTGGTATCTACCAATCTAGCAATCACAGTGTCCATGGGAGCTAGAAGATTCTTCATGGTCCCCATCTTCTGGTCACCTTGCTGCTGCTCCAAGAGCTCCTCTTTGTAGGATGAGAGTAGCTCGGGCTGAAAAGCTCCGCCTCGAAGCATGGCCTCAATCTGACTCCTAACATCCCGGCTCAGTGCCTGCCGCAGCTGGCCCTGGCCACCCTGTGTCCACGTGCCCCCCGAAAGTAAGTGCCTCAGGACTAGGCAGGGCTGGAGCAGATGCCCAGTCACCTCCCCAAAGGCACGTCTTGGGTTGACCTGCTGCTGCTGGATCAAGATGTAATGGCCAAGGGCCAGGTGAATGACCTCGAATAACTGGGGTACCACAGCTGCTTCTGGCTGCCTACAGGTGGACCAGCACAGCTGGCTCAACAAGGTGACTATCAGCTCCTGTTTGGCTGTGTAGATGACAGCAAGGGCAGGTGTTGAGAGGATGCCCTGGCAGCAACTCAGCACAGCACGGATGTTTCTTTGGGATCCCGAAAGAGAGAACTCGGCTATTCTCTCATTTATGATCTGAGCATTAAGAAAGAAAGACAACCATTACTGACTCTAAACCCAAATATATACACAAAAAATACAACAGAATCAATAAACTCACTCCTTGCCCTCACCTTGATGAGAACGAAATGCCCAGATTATCATATCTAAATGAACTTAACATTTACTTAATGTACCAAAGGAAAGTAAAGTACCTGTTTTAATTCCTTCACACATCCACCTCCTATCAATATACATTTGAGAAAGGGATTGATGCCTTTGTAAATCTGCTGTCCCTGTTTAAAGAGCTGGGGTTTGTAAAGCTTAAACTCTACAGATCACTTTTTCTTGGATCCTAAACCTGCAATTCAGCTTAGAAGCTACAGGTGGACGGACAGTAACCTTGGGTTATGATCCTGTAATCAAAAATACATTTTTATAGTCAATTATACTGTTTCTATTTAAAAAGACAAAGCAAAAGGCACTCTTAAAAAAGGAAAGCCATTGATGCCAGATAACTACTTATTATATAGCAACCCCACAGTCTACTCCTTCCAAAAATCAGAAATTCACAAACACCAGAAATTATGAGGGCTGAGCAGATTCCTAAATTCACTCATAGGCTATGTGACTTGCTCCTAGTCTTACGGCATCTGAGAATCAAATTTATCTTGGATGCTAAGTTATCAGTAGCCAAATGACACAGATGTGATGATCTCCATTCAAGGAAATGCTTTCTCTGGAAAAGCTGAAACAAAAATGTCAAATACCTAAATGCCAATGCATTACCACAGTGATTTCCAAATTCTTCTGACTACATAATCCATCTACAAAAACTTTTTCCACACTTACACCCAATAAGGATAATTTATTTATAAATTGTATGCATGTACTATAGTACTACTATTTATATAATTATAAAGCATGCATGAAAATTAAAACATAACTTTTTTTTTAAACATATAGAGATGTCGTAAGATTTTCTTCCCACACTCGCAAAGAACCATTCAGAATAACCCACTTTGGTGACCAGTCGTCTATTATTTTTAAAAGCGACACACAATTTAGAACAGAATTTCAAGAACTACTAAAGCCTATGAATCATCAGGCAGCTGAACTATTTAATTCTTCTTTTACCAGCCTCTATGGCTCTTCTCTTTCAGCCTGCACACTCATATGGGTGAGATGGTATTATGGTCAAGAAAACAGGCTTTGCAATCAAGCAGATCTAGGTTCAAATCCCGGCTCAACCACTTACTAGCTGTGTGACTCTCAGCAACTTACTTAACTGCTCTGAGCCTGATACACAGTAAGTGCTCATTAGTAGTACTGTTTATTGTCACCAGCTACTCTTACAGTATTTCATGATACTCAGTTTTGACAATGAGGTTCGTAATTCTGATCTCCGACTTCAAAATCACTTTGAGTCAAACAACCTTGGCAGCAATTCCTATCCAGATTTTGGCCTTTGATTTCCCTCTAAGCCAACAAAAAGGTGGGGGGAAAATCACAAAGCAGTATAATTTGCTGGTCATCTTTTCCAATTAAAAAGGTAATCAACAATCAGTTTATGAAACACTTCTATGCTTTTCTTGAATATTAAATAACAGTGCTTAGCACAGTGTAGAGCATACAATACACATTCAATAAATACGAGTTGCTATTATAATTCTAATAGTATTATTTCCTTCTCCTCCCCTACCTTGATATTTGCTGCATCTTCATATAATTAAACCTGAAACAAGCCTCTAGCATTAACAGGAAATCAACAGAGATGCATGTAACAGATACAGGACAACACAGGAAATTGTTAATTACCTTGACTAGGGAAATCTGAAGGTTAATTGTCTTTCCATTCTTGAGGAGATTCTGCAATTTTCTGCTGTGCAGAATGTTATCTATATAGATCCAAAGCCTTTCAACAATGTCTTCCTTCAGCTCAAGTTTTTTCTTATAAAATGCAACCAACGACTGTCTTGCCCAATCAAGTAATACCTGAATTTGGAAGAAATATACTCTGAAAATAAATGAATTTCTTTAGCAACAAAGAAAGAGGACAGGCATTTATAGGGACATTCCATGCATAAGCAAATCCAACTGTCAGCGGAAAAAACTATCCTTTAAAACTTATCTTTGGTAATATTTTATTGCATACATATTCAGGTATCTTAAAATGTTTATTATTAAAGAAGTAATAAAAAAAGAAAACAACAAATTTTGGGGGTCGGCCTGGTGGCATAGTGGTTAGGTTCACAAACTCCACCTAAGCAGCCCCAGGTTCCCAGGTTTGGATCCCAGGTGTGGACCTACACACCGCTCCTCAAGCCATGCTGTGGTAGCATCCCACATACAAAATAGAAGAAGATTGGCACAGATTTAGCTCAGGGCCAATCATCCTCAACAACAACAAAAAAGAACTTTGTCTTCATGGGTCAAATAAAAAATTTCAAGTGAAACAACAGTTTCTTCTAACTTCTAACTTCTCTGAAGTTGTACTAAATTTTAAAAGCTGGAAGCACAAGAATTGCTCAGAATGGCCACAAAATGAATCACACACAAAAGTAAAAATGTAGAGTCAAAGGACAGGGGTTTGTGCCCAGGCTGCCCATGTTACCCATGGCTTAACCCTCCAATCTATTTACCTTACGCAGAAGACAGAGAGTCTTCTGTGAAATAATGCACAAGTGCCTTATGAAAAGGAGGGTTGAACATATATAGTTTCCATTATTGTGACATGTTTCCTGATTCATAAACATGAGGAAAGGTGGTGAGGCCTCAGTTCATGATACGAGAACTGTCACTAACAGAATGAACAGTGACAGATGCTAAAAGGAAAAAAACCTCTCAGGATAAGATAGTGAAGCCCTTGATCGAATTGTCTGCCATGACTTCCCCTTTTGGCTTACCCTGTGTAGCATTTGCTAAGTGACTGTCAAGCTGCCAAAAGGAGTCTCAGGTGCAGCCAGATTTAGGAACTACTAGCAAATATGACAGCGCTCCACATACTGTACCTCATCATCATTTTAACAGATGTAATCCATCTTTGACACATTTTGTGCTGTCTTAATACCAGCATACGTGTGTATGTTAATCCAATTTCGTGAGCTCATCATCCTGGTGTCTCCATTGTATTCACAGTATTTTTTAGCCAAATAAGCCTGAGAAATGTTAAAAATGAGTGATGTCTTTCTTAGTTCCTAATCTATTTCTAGAACGGCTTAGTACAAATACTAAACCTTCTCTACTTCCCAACCTTCAATTCATCAAAGTCCAAAGATGTTTAACAAAGCACCAACAAGCAACACTACTGGAGCATCACTTTGGATTTACAAGTAAATGGAGCTGCCTAAAGACGCAGAACTTAACTTCTGTAACCTAATTCCCAATTTGTTCACTGATACACATACTTCATTCAGAATATAAGAGATGTTTCCGAACATAAGAGAAATGCTAACTAGATTTTGTAACAGAAAAACTTTACTAATGTAATTCCTTACAATACCTTTTTTCACTGACATTACTTTTAACTTCCAACCATGTTTCCTTCCCCAATCTTTTCTCTAATCTTTTAAAATCTTAACTAAGTGTCAATATGCAATTTACATAAGTGTTAATTATTTTAAGTTGTAGAAATGTAAGTTTCACATTAAACTTACTTGTTCTTTATTTGGAAGAAAGCATTGGTGGGAAATCCAAGCAAAGTGAGCTAGTTTTAGTTTATCTTCCCAGGAAGTTGCCTTGCTTTTAAGCTTAAGGGAAATGCCAGAATAAACAGCAGCCATTGCTACACTTTTTCTAAGATTTAAAACAATGGAAAAAAAATATTAGATTAAGGTCAAACTCAACAAGCACCAGAAAATAAACATTATCTATCTTATTGTCAAATAATATATAGTCCTTAAAATTTTTTTTTCAATGAATTAAAACACATCAACAGAATTGTCAAGCCCAAGTCTATACATAAGACGCTTGAGCCCATGAATTTTCCAGGGGAAATTCAGACAACAGCAGGCAGAAAACACACACATAGGTACAAGTTTTCCTGCTGTGATCAAACACCACAACCCCAGAAGTGCGTGTGCAGGAATTCAAGTGGACAAAATGCAAAGTGTTCAAAGTACTTTGAAAACAGATTCATTCACACATGGTTTTAGATGGAAAAAGTTTCTGCACAAATCTTCTGAAATATACTATGTATTATGTATTAGGACCAGCTCCATTAAAGAGCTTCAAGAGATAAACAAGCAATATATGGAGAAAAATTCTGCAAGTAAAAAGAAATACAGTATAAACCCAATCCTAATACAAATACTGTTATTTCAGCTGCAACAGTAACTTCTCACTACATTCAGTTATGTATACATTTACAAACATACATTGCTTCCAAAGACTCTACAAAATATATTTACACAATTAAGGCTGTAAAAATAGAATACAATTAAATCATGAATAAGGAAAGAAAGTAAACATACCAACCACCTACAATTACTACCAAACCGAGGTAAACATAGCTTTGAGTTTCCTAAAAGTCACAGTAAAAAGGGGAAACATATCAGGTTAAGCCATTTTCATTATACAAAGGGAAACAAGTCAGTTCCTCAAAAGAGAAAATTTTTCTTGATGCTTAATAGTGAAATAAAATTATTGAAAATAAAAAGCAAAACAGGACAATGGAAATGCCAAAAAACGATCGCAGTTCCACGTTTCTAATATAAATACTGTCAAACCAAAAGAATTTGCTACACTGAGGGCTAGATCACTTGCATTTTTTAAATCTCTGGGGCCTGAAATCCTACAGACCTACCTTCGGAACTTATTCCCATAGGTAACTAACTATACACAGAATGAGAGAACACTGGGTGAAGGACACTTCCATTCAGCATGGTATCCATCACTCTATTACAGAGAACAAGAACAGTCAAGCGCTGTCAGTTTTCCTGTTTCACCAACCAGTTCAACAACTACTTATTTAACTTCTAAGTTCAATGTTAGACAGCCATCGCGACAGCTACAAAGTAGTTAAAAAGTGTTTGCAGAATTGGCAACAAAGACTCTCCAGATACCCTCCGGGTTCTACCAACTTTCCACTCTCGGCGCCCTCGGCGACGTGAAAATAAGCCCGATGCGGGAAGCAGAGCGCCGTTAGTACGCACGCAAAGGCCGCTTACGCGCGGCCACATGCTGAATCCTGCCCAGCAGAATGAAACCAAGTAATGAGAGTCAGGAGAGAGCAACAAGGAGCGATGTGAGAGGTCGCCGAAGAAGAGAGTCCAGTCAGCTCTCGCCCAGCGCTTGCTGACTACGGGAGAGGCCAGGCCCGCGGCGGAGGGTCGTCCCTAGGCAAGGCGCTCCCCTCGAGGTGGGCCCCAGGTCGGCCCCAGGTCCGAGCCGCGGGCGAAGGCAAAGAGCCGTCCCCAGGTAAGGAGCTCACCTCGAGGTTGGCCCCAGGTAGGGGCCGAGAGCCGGGGCAAAGGGCGTCCGTCCCCAGGTAAGGAGCTCACCTGAGGCCCCGGCTTGGGTAGGGACTGCTTGCTCGAGCGGAGGGTCGGCCCTGGGGCGGGTGCTCACCTGGAGGTCGGGCCCACGTAAGGGCCGCGGGCGGGGGCAGTGGGCCGTCCTCAGGTAAGGTGCTGCCCTCGAGGCCAGCCCCGGATGGGGACCACGGGCGGGGACGAGAAGAGCGGCGGCTAGGTCGGCCTCCGCGCGGCCCACCACGTGGGAGCGGCCCCCTGGGCGCTCCTTCCGCCCGACGCCGGCGGCGCGAAGGGGCGGGGCGGCGCGCACGCCAGGCATTGCCAGCCGAGCACCGAGGCGCCTCGCCCATTGGCGGAGACAGTTGCGCGTCGGAGGCCCGAGCGCCCAGCCCGCGGCCCGCTCCGTGTCAGTCAGTCATGGAGCGGCGGCCCAGAGCCGCGGCGGAGGCGGCGGGGCGCGGGGCGCGGGGGCCCGGCTGAGGCGGCCGTCGGAGCGAGACCTGCCGCAGGGACGACGGAGGCGGAAGCAGCCGGATCCCGGAGGCGGCGGCGGCGGGAGAAGCCGGAGCCGCCTGGGATGTTCAGTGAGCGCGGGGCGCGGGCGGGAGGCCGGGCCGGGGAGGGAGGGAGCGCGGGAGCGCGGAGGCCTGGGGGGTGGGGGCGCGCGGAGTCCCGCCGGCGGCGGTGGGGGCGGGGCGGGGCGGGGGCCGGGGGCGGGGGCGGGGGCG